CTCCGCCCCCAGCCTGGCAGGACAGCTCAGCTCACAGGCTCCGCCCCCAGCCTGGCAGGACAGCTCAGCTCACAGGCTCCGCCCCCAGCCTGGCATGATAGCTCAGCTCACCGTGAGCAGATGCAGTAGGTCCTCGCTGGCGCTGCAGGGCGGATGCTGTCGTTGGAGAGCAGCCAGCTCCTGCAGCCGCAAGTAGAGGTTGTTGAGCTTGGGCAGGTGCAGACGGCCATCAGACAGCCTGTCAGGATGGGCCTCATACAGGGACACCAGGTCCTTGAGGTGCACACCCAGAACAGGCAGCCGGAAGCCCGTGCAGTGGGTCCAGGTGCGCCGGTAGCGGGCGTAGTTGTTGTGGGCAGAGAGGAGCTCGGCCAGCTCCAGTAGGACCTGTGGGGAGATGGTGGAGTGGAGGGCGAGGTTATGTGGGGGGGCCGGAATGTGTTACTGTGAGTTGGTTCTGTTCCCTGCTAGTATCCTAGCAGACTTCTGTGCGGGACCCAGACCCCAGGGAATCGGAACTCCCCTTAGAGTCTTACAGGGGTCTTAGCATGTCTTTCAAATGGCTCCTCCTATTGGGAACCCATATAAAGGAGTCCCCATATCCATCATCATTCCCCAGGCTAGATATCTGTGCTTCAGCCAATACACCACTCTGCTACACTTACACACACCTGCTCATAAATCCCCATGGCCTTCTGAGCAATTGTCTCTCCTGCCCGTCCCCTCCTCCCCTCTCTGAGGTCCCTCCTCTAGCCCAGTCTAGTCTTATGCTCAGTCCCAGCTCCAGCATCCCTGCTGGAGTTGCAGCCTTCAATCGTACCCTCTTCAGTCCACCCTCCACACAGCACTTAAGTGGTGTTTCTGACACAAAACTCTGATCACATTCTTCCTTAGCTCAAAAACACTTTCATGGCTCCTTAAGACCCCCGAGGAGAAAGAACAAACTGCATCACTTGCTTACAGGGTGCTGGACTGTCCTGGTCACCTGTCTTCCCTCTTCAATTCACTCCCTCTACCAACCACCAGAGCAATTTTTCAAAAACCCAAATCTGATCATGGGTGTCTCCATCAATCCCAAACTTTCTGTAGCTCCCCATTGCCCTCTGGATAAAGTTCAAACACCTTATTGGATTCTGTGGGATTTGGGGAAACAAGGTCTTCGGGTGTTTCCAGAGTCCCTAGGCAGAGCTTAAGAGATTGGGGGATTTAAATGTGGAGTGTTGAGACAGCTGACCCCTTGGAAGTTTAGGAAGGGCAGTGGGGAGTTCACCTTGGTGCTGTCAGGACTCAGGTGGGCATGGGAGTCCTTGAGTCTGGAGATGGCACTATGACACAGACCCCCGGTGACTGCCATCAGCGTGTTGAAATTCTGCAGTTGCCGGAGCTTCTACAAAGGGAAAGGGTTGGGAACTCAAAGTAGGGAAACTCAGGCATACGTTGTTGTTGTTGTTAAGTGTGTTGAGTCAGTTCAAACTCATAGTGACAGGGTTTCCAAAGCTTTAAATCTTTGCAGGAGCAGACACTCATCTTTCTCCTGTGAAGCTGCTGGTGGGCTTGAACCGCCAACCTTGTGGTTCGCAGTCCAGTGTTTATCCTATGGAGCATATGAGAAGACTTTAAAAACGTTTGTGGAAGCATTTCAGTATCTTTTCATTGCATTTTTGTGGTGTGGACAAATCAGTGTGGCCATTATACAACTGAGGACAAAAGAACGTTTCAAGCAGGAGTGGGCCATGGCAGGAGACAGGAAAGTATAGGTACTAAGTTGTGGGGTCTATGCAGCTGTGGGTCAGCCAAGTGTGTGGAGTGTGTGGGGTTCAGATGTCGCAGTGCCAGACGTCCGGGACAAGGAGAGAGACAAGCTAGAGAGACGACCAGGCCCAGGTGTATGGGGCCAGACTGAGTCTGCGAGGTCAAGTTGGAAGTGGATTCCACCAGGCGGGATTCCTTCACCCTCTCTTTTCCGAAGTTTAAAAGTTGGAGGTCGTTGTGGGGTGAGGGTAGTGCCAGAGAAGAGTAGAAGGTTCTCAGATCTAGGAGACCCCAGGCAAAGGGGTAGAAGGCCAAAGCTAAACACCCAGCAGGAGGAAGCCAAGCCCAGAAGCCCAAGATAGGGCGTGGTATGCGAGGAAATGCGTAAGGGGGCGTGGCCATGGTGGAGAAGGCAGGGCTACGCTCTCTGTCTCGCTGGAAGGGAAGGTATCCGGAAGCCGGGAGCAGAGTGCTTGACTCTATGGGTAGGAACCTGGGAGAAACACGTCGGGATAGAGAGGGATACGGTCACTGCCCTGGAAGCCCTGTTGGGCCTAGACACTGCGGTTCGAGGTGGAGGAAATGCAAAGCGGAGGGAGAGTGGCTTTCACTGTTCTGGGGATATAACATTCGGAGAAAAGGGAGGATTGGGAGTTTGATGCAATGATAATGCCATGGAAGAAGTGCTGTTACAGTCTGGGGTCTCGGGGCGGGATGGGGGTGGTGGGAAAGTGGATGACGTCACTGCCCGGCATGGTCTGTTGGGCCTTTATTGTTAGGTGCGGTAGAGTCGGTTCTGACTCATAGTGACCCTATCTATGGGGCTTGGGCGAGCAAGAATCGCGCAGTATGAAATTGCGCGCCCTGGTGTTAGCAGGGAAAGCGAGCTGAAAGGTGCCTCACCTGTGCCACGTGGATGAACTTGTCCAGCACCTGCGCGCGCTGCGCGGGCCCGGGCCGACTCAGCACCATGACCTGCACCCAACGGGACACACTGTTGCTGAGGCCTACGGAACCCTCCAGAGCCGGGCAACCCCTCACAGAACCCTGCAAAACGTAGCTCCGCAGGTCCTGGGGCTAGGAGGGAGGGAGGAAGGCATCAGAATGGGCCGTGGATGCTCAAGATCAGCTCCTCCTCACATGTCCATCCCCTAATGTCCTAGCCTGTCCTAGCTGTGTCACACACACACACACACCCCCACGCTGCTGCCACACATTTCTGAAACCATCATGATCCTCTCCTATGGTAAGGCATCCCCTTGCTTGGAGTCACAAGCAGCCCCAAATTTCCTGGAAAAAGACAGTTTGTATATATATTTTTAAATGTTTTGAAGATTTAAAATTGAGCCCCCCCAAATCAAACCAGTTGCTCTGGAGCCCATTCTGACTCATGGAGTCACACCAGAACTGTGCTCCATGGGGTTTTCAATGGCTGGTTTTTCAGAAATGGATTGCCAGATCTTTCTTCTGAGACCCCTCTGGGTGGTGGTGGTGGTGGTTGTGTGCCCTTGAGTCAGTTCCGACTCACTGCCACCCCGTAGAGGATTTCTGAGGTTGTAAATGTTTATGGGAACAGAAAGGCTTGTCTTTTCTCCAGAGCAGTGACTGTCGTTGTTAAGTGCCGTCGAGTTGGTTCCGACCCATAGCGACCCTGTACAGGGTTTCCGAGGCTGTAAATCTTTACGGGAGCAGAACGCCTCATCTTTCTCCCATGGAGCAGCTGGTAGTTTCGAACCGCTGACCTTAAGGTTCGCAGCCTGATTCGTAACCACTATGCTACCAAAGGAGTGACTAGTAGATTTAAATTGTTGACCTTGCAGTTAACAGCCCAGGTTGTAATCCACTACACTACCAAGGCTCCTACCTCCGAGTGGTCCGGATTAAATGAAGCCAGGCACCATTCTGATTCTTTGACAAATCAACTCATTTAACTATAATTCTACAAAGCAGGTAGAATATTATTATTATAATACCCATTTTACAGATGAGACTATCAAAGCACAGAGAGGCTAAGTAATTTGTCCAAGGCCGCCCAGGTGTGAACCTAGATAAGAACCCAGTCTGCTGCTCATATTCTTAACTGTATACCTCATGGGCATCCAAAGGGAGGGATGGGCAAGAGGACCTGAAACCAACTTGTATGTCATCTGAAGGGAAATAGCATAGGGCTTAACCTTCCACACCCACATCTATTCAGCCAGCAGATCCTGTCCACTCTTTCAAAATACTTCTAGAACTCCCTCCTCCTCTGCCCCACCCTGATCCTGTCAATCATCCTCCTGCCAGAACTCACAGCAGTCTCCTCTCTGAGTGCCCTGCTCCCACACTGCCCCTTGCAATCTGTTCCCATGTAGTCAGAGGGAACCTGTGCATACTTGAGTCACATCTTCTCCAGCTTAGAGTTCTCCTGTGGCTCCATCTCACTCAGAATCAAAACCACAGTACTCCCTGTGACCCACAAGGCTCCATATAATCTGTCCTGTACCTTCCTAACATTCTCTCCGTTCATGCTCCCTCTTGTTGCTCTGTTCCAGCCAACTCTTCCTTCAACATTGTAGATACACACCCACTTCAGGGCCTTTGCACTGATGGTTCCCTCTGCCTAGGACACTCCTCCCCTAAAGTCCTCATGGTTCACTTCCTCACCTCTTCCTTCAGGTCTTTATTTACTCATTGCCTTTTCAGTGAGGCTCCTAGTTCTAGCACTGTGTCTGGGGCACAGCTGGCATTCAGTAAACATTGGTTGAATGAATGAATGAAACCAGAAGAGAAAACAAAAACAAGATAAACCAAAAGCATTCTGTTTTGGAAGAGATTACCAGGGACACCAAGTATCCCAAGGTTTGATAAACAATGTGCTACTTGGCTGGCAGAGTCACCTTAAACCAGAAGTCACAGACTGGTGATCTCAGGATGAAATGTGTCGCACTCATAGGTTTCATTTAGCTAGCAAAATGTTTATACAAATATGAGGCGGCTTCAAAAAGTTTGTGGGAAAATGGAACTAAAAGAGAATGAAATTTTCACCAAGAACTTTTTGAAGCCCCCTTGTGTGTGCATATGTTTATATATTTGTGTATCTATGTATTTAATGATCTGGAAATTTTCACATTAAGGAACCAGATCCCCACTTCCCTTGAAATGGTGGTGATCACTAACCTCTATTTAAGTTGAAGCACATAAAAAAAAAAAAAAAAGAACTTGACATTTGGAAAAGTAAAATAAAGCCATTTCAAATGATTCAACCAAAGCGCATCTACTAGGAACCAGACACTCTTTCTCTAAGGCAGAAACTATTAATATCCCCTTTGTACAGATGAGCAAACTGAGGCAGCAAACACATGACTTGCCCAAGGTCACACCACTAAGGAGTGTGAAGTTGAAATTGGAAGATCTGGCACCAACAGGCCACACACACTCACACAATAATGTGCTTTATTTTTCTCCTTAGCACTTGTTGTTAAGTGCCATTGAGTTGGTTCCAACTCACAGTGACCTAGTATAGGGTCCAAGAAGCAGCTGGTGGATTTGAACTGCCAATCTTGCAGTTAGCAATCTAATGTACAGCATCACACCAGGACTCCTTCTAATATAATATAAATGTCTATTATTGATTATTGTTGTTAAGTGCCATCAAGTTGGTTCCAACTCATATCAACCCTGTATAGGGTTACTGAGGCTTTAAAAATCTCTGAGGGAGTAGAAAGCCTCATCTTTCTCCTAGGGAGCAACTGTTGGGCTCTTAACTGTATATACATACGTTATTGTTGTTAAGTGCCGTTTAGTTGGTTCTGACATATAGGGCTTCCAAGGTTAATCTCCTAGGTGAATCTTTGTGGGAGCAGATAGTTTCATCTGTCTCCTGTGAAGTAGCTCGTGGGCTTGAACCATCAATCTTATGGTTATCAGTCCAGCACTTATCCTATGTATACTATACACACTCTATGTATACTAAGCAAACCTATGTATACTATACACTCTCTTTGTATACTAAACAAACCTATGTATACTATACACACTCTCTGTGTGTACACTAAGCAAACCTATGTATACTATACACTCTCTATGTACACTAAGCAAACTTATGTATACTATATACACTCTCTCTATGTATACTACGGAAACCTATGTGTACTATACACACTCTCTCTGTGTATATTAAGCAAACCCCAAAACCAAGGCAGTTGGTATGACTAGAATGGCTGCCCAGAGCTAAATTAAACTCAATTGTGAATCAAACTATAGCTTGGCCTAAAATCTCTGCTTCAGCTGCTCTGAAGAGACAATTCTGTTTCTTATAAAAGTTTAATTGCTTGTAACCCAATCGGAGCAAGGGTTGTGATTTTAGCTTGTGGAGGAAATGCTTGTTAAAAGATGTTTTTGTCTTGGAGAACAAACAAGATGGCAGAGAGGGTAGAAGTGCAGTGAGGAGCTCCGTCAGTAACAACACAGAATACTGAACCAAGCAGGCTCAGGGGATGGTCCTAGAATTCTGAACCACATGTAAAGTAATATTTAGAAAGTTGGAAGGCTTACAGCCAGTGGACTTTGTAGCAGAAGTAAGATGAGCAGTCATCTTGGGCAAGATTGACACCTGACAGAACTGCAGAGCTAAAGCTGTGGACATTCTTTTTTTTTGTATTTGTTCACTGGTCTCTCGCTGTCTGCGCACCTCCATTCTGGTGACTAGAGGGGGTGCTTGATCCAGTGGACACCCCACCTCATCCCCGGAGGGCTCTATTACGCATGTGCACAGAGCTCCTCAAAATGTAAAGGGACAATTTCCACTTAAAACCAAATGGAGACACTAAATGGCCACAGTGGGCTCTGAACTGTTTATCACTAGGAAAAAGGCCTGAACAGGAAGACTAAAAAGGAAATAGGCCAAAAATTAAATCCTGAGTTACGTCATAACGACTAACAGTGGCATCTTGAAATTTCTCAGGAAGAACAGTGAAAAGGGAAGCCTATCTCCTGACCACATCTACCTGGGGGCAATCAGAAAGCATAAAAAATACCAAAACACACACCTATCTAAGTATTAAGGTCACAGCTAAATACTGAATATGCCCCAAAAAACAGAAACAGACCATATCAGGAAGATAAAGTGACTGAGACAAATGAGCTGGAGGTAGACCTACACTTCATACTGGAAGGAGGACAGGCTTTGGAAATGCCTAAGAAGGAATTCAGAAAAATGATTATAAAAATGTATCAAAACACTTTACAACGGAGTTGAGAAAAATAAGGAAGAAGTCAGGAAAGCACTATAGGAACAATCAAATAAGATAGATACAGCACTGGAAACAATTAAAAACCTACAGAAAGAGATCCAAATAATAATAGAATATCAGAAATGGACAATACACTGACAGGGCAAAGGAGTAGAATTGAAGAGATGTTAGTCAGAACTAGTGAGCTGGAAGATAATTCTCTCAACACTACTAAGATAGAAGAACAAGCAGAAAAAAAGTATTAAAAAAATCTGAAGACGGTCTAAGATTCATGTTGGACAACATGAAGTGGAATAATTTAAGAATTATTGGCATTCTGGAACAGGAAGAATCATGCAAGTCCAAAGAGGAGATAGTTGAAGAGCTTCTGGAAGGAAATTTTCCTAACATCCTGAAAACCGAAAAGATAAGCATTCAAGAAGCTCAATGAACTCCAGGAAGGAAAGACCCTAAAATATAATCACCAAGACATATAATAATCAAGGTCTCCAAAATCAAAGATAAGGACAGAATCCTAAAAGCAGCTAGGGAAAAGAGAAGTGTAACATACAAAGGCAAGCAAATCAGATTAAGCTTGGAACTCTCAATAGAAACCATGCAGGCAAGAAGGCAATGGGGTGACATATATAAAACTCTGAAAGAAAAAAATTGCCAACCAAGAATCCTCTTACCCAGCAAAGCTGTCAGTCAAATATGATGGTGTAATCAAAACATTCCAGGATAAACAGAAGCTAAGGGATTTTGTCAAAGCCAACCCTGCTATGAAAAACATCCTAAAGGAAGTTCTGTGGACTGAGAACCAACAAGAGCAGACAACAACCAGAGATTGACGTATGTGGCAGC